TAGCATACGTTTGAACACCATTTGTGTTCCGACAGGAGTTCTTGAGTTTACTTTGTTGATAACTTTCTGGGGAACATTAAGCAAATTAATTTCCTCTGAACGCACGTCAGTACCTACAGTTTTGTATACACGTGATACGAATTTGATGAGTTCGAAACATTATAATTAATCGTGTTGAATAAAATGTTCTATTTTTGTTTAATAATCATAGATAGCTTTATGAAGGAAGATAATGTAATAATAACATTCACTGAGATGCCCCCAGTCGGACCTCTGTCTGCCGCCTTGCTTTGTAAGTTGTGTTTCGGCTGTAGAGTGTGATTAAGTAGTGAAATTATCGACACAGATAAATATAACATACAGGCATGATATCTTAGTCCTCTAAAATGGAAATGTATTAGTAGTATCACGGGTGTCATATGATAACGTGATCTTAGTGCTATTCATGTGATCCTCTGCAGATTTTGTCAAGCTGAATAGGAATTGCCACTATACGTGTATGGTTATAGCCCACTCATGCATGAACAAAATATCTCCTTTGGAAAGTATAGATCTATCTTGAGGAGATAAAAACCATCGCTCCTAAGATTCAATTTTTGTCCCTGCCGATCTAGGTAGCGGACTTTGAAAAAGGGCGAGCACAATAGATCTATGCAGGTCGCAGTGCTACAGGTCTTAGAACCTAACAATAGCCAAACCCCTCACTAAAAATAAAATGTAGTGCTATTAGTAAATATAGGTAACGGTTACTTACCATTCGGTGTATTCTTGTTTACCATTCCAACTACTACGATACTAACTAACCTGACTAACTACGATACTAACTAACCTGGCTAAATCCCATCCTATCCTAAATTCCAATTCTTTCATTTCGACTGTTGACGCGTCAATGGATATAGTGCAGTTGGGTGCATTATTGAATACTCATCCTTTGGGGTGAAAGAGGATTGTTAGTAATATGGACTGATGATTTTATTGCTATCAATATATCCTGTTAGATGGACATCCACGCGGTTCTACCTGGAAACCATCGTGATAAATTCTTGACGAATTTGTCACGATGAGCTAACGGACCTGACCTCCTGCTCATCTTATAATCCTCCACTGGTGCCCCGCTAGCGTAAATCGTTAGCTTAGGCGAGTGCATTCCATTATGATCCATAAAAAAATAACAAAAAGCTATACATTTTACACTGTAAGTATAAAGTTTCATAAAAGAATCATATTTTTCATATTTTGAAGCAACTACAATATTTATCGAGGTTGCTCTAAATATGTGAGTATGGGTAAGGTATTGCCCTAAGCAGTATGTTTATTTTTTATTTCTGTTTTGTTTACTTTATGAGCGCGCAACGGAGCGATAAGGCATTACAGCGTATAGAATAATGCAGTCTCCCTCCTGTACTTTACGTGTAAAGGAAATAGAAGATTATTCAAAGAGTGGTTGTAAAACACCCGCATTGTCTGATGGAGCAGATGATTGTGGGTATATAAAAGACCTTATCTTGTTTATTACAGAGTATGTTTTTATATAAAAACTATATGATATTTGCGACGTTATTTGTATGACATTTATGATTCCGTCAAATACAAACTTTTCTGACTATCTATTCGTCACTAAGCTTTGAGTACTTATTACAGTTAAACTCTTTTTTCGGGTAACAACTCTTAAAACATTTAGCCTCGTACGAAGAAGTAAAAAAATAATTTCGTAATTTGGTTCTATGCTCTAGCGGCGGTTCCGTTAGACTAGCACGCTTTACTTCCAATGGTCGCGGGTTCAATTCCTCAGTACAATAATTGTATTCATGAGTATAATTATTTGTATAGGTCTGAATGTCATCTATGTATGTATGTATTTTCAAAAAAAATATTTATATATATTAATTGTCTAGTACCCATAACATAAGCTCTGCTTATCTTGGGTAGTCCCAAGCTAAGCAGAGCTTATGTTATGGGTTATATGGCGCTGTGAAATTTATCCTGGTATTATAGTATTGTCATCTATCTATGTAATTGTAAATGCAATAACTTATTTACATATATTTTCTTAGGTATATATATGAAAAGAACGTGGCAAGGGTGATTTACCACTGTCTTGGATTAATTTTGTTTATGACTGATCATATCATTTCCTTAACATATCATTCAATCGAAAATTTAAATTTACACACTATTGTTTTGTAGTCTCGCTCAGCCAGAATCAAACTCACAATATTTGTTGTCTAAATCGGAGTAGTAAGCTACCAGGTCACAATGCTTTCTAGAACAAATTGTACACTATTTAAAGTGTACTAAAAAGTTACAGATCTAAGTTTGTTTGTCAACTGATGTAATGTACAGACATTTGTCCGGTCCACTTTATAAAAAGAAAAATAACAGTCAACTTTTCTCCTCCAGGACACAACGAACAACAGCAATGTTTTTCATTCCAGTATCTCGTCGACCATTTCATTTTCTTTAGAATAGCTTACAAACTGAGAGTATGTAAGGAGTTTCTATAAAATGTCTCCCCAATTGGGAATTTAACGAAGCGACCCAGCGAAATGATAAAATAGAACATTGGTGTGTGCGGATTTAAAGCGATGTAAGCGCTTTATTTCTTAATGAATACTTGGACATATGTATCTATTTATTTCTATATTAATACATAAGTTTGAAAGCGCTTATTTCGAAAAATAATTTCTGCATTTTGTAGCTAAATATTTGAGACATGCTTTTCATTCATACTCGTATATATTACTAGGTGTGACTCGTAAATCCGTCTACACAAAATTTCATCCCCTATTTCATTTACTAACAGATGATTTTATTTTATGTAATTAGAATGTCAAACATAGATAAAGTTAATATATAGTCTCTGGCCTCCGCCCGACTTTGTCTGCTTTTTTAAGTTACTCTTTATAAGTTATGTTCCTTATCGTGATTACTATGTATTTATGTAAAATCTATTTGATAAGGTAATACAACAGATAAAACAGACAGTCAGATGTTTAATACAGGCAATATTAGTAGTTAATTGAAAATATTGAAAAAGTACTAAATAGTTGTCAAAATAATGATTGTAAAGGATACTTTAACAAAGACGAGTATGATGATATGACAGTAATAAAAGGTATCAATGTAGAAGCAAAAATTTTACTAACTAACGTTATATATAAAATAATATAGTTATTACAAAATACATAGACAATATAAAAGATATATAACACACTTTCCAACAATCATGTTGTGATAAATATTTTACACTTTTTCAATTTTATTATTCATTCAATTTAACGTAAACAACACAGCGACATCTATCCAACACCTCCAAATCAACACAGACGCCATCTATAATTCAATCAATAAATAGTCAACATCTGGTGCGTAACATCAAAGAGCGACTCAGCATTTAATTTTGGCAACTACACCGGGCTATTTATAATAAACCCATTGGCATTTCAATCGAAAAGGACAGTCGGATCATTGATCGTTTATTTATAGTTACGATATGTGAAAGATGCGGTACAAATGATGGTACTCACTAGAAGAATGGGATCGAATAGTCCAGGAAAATCACATCAAATTTATTTGCAACAAATATGCATATATTAGTTGTCATTGTAAAATATAATGTTCCATTATATTTTGTCCGATTAGGAATGCAAAATTTAAATTTGATTTGTAGTTGGTCTAATGACCAAATCTCTCGTTACGCGCATCCTTGAGTCTGATAATTTCTTAAAATAGTCGTGATGCTCTCTTACAAATATAGATATATCTTTAATTTAAATATATGGATAACCAAAGAATGTTTTATTTTCTGAAGAGACGGCGAGAACTTTCTCTAATTCTGGCATCACATACAGCTTTAATACATTTGTTTTGAAAAGAAGTACCCTTGCAAGTCATATAGAGGTACATAATAAGATCATACGATAGTTTGAAGGAAACGTGTCCAGGTTAGAAAGAATATCACTGAAAAAAAAAAATTTCGATTTGATCGATCAAGCTACAGTTTCTGAATGACAATGAATGGACCTAGAATATTACTAATAGTATACATGTTGGACAGCATTAAAGAATTATAGAATGCATATGAAGTCAGGTCAGTTATTCCCCACGATTCCCCCTTTTTGGGAGGTACCGAAGACACTGTGTCTGTCCACAGTGTCTTCGGCACCCCCCAAAAAGTGTACAGATTGGGCCCCGAGGCGATTCTCTTTACCCCGGCATCAACACATAAAAACAAATCCCAGAGGGTTGGAAGAATAACTTATTTTAGGCAGGAAAGCTTAAAATGAAATTTAATCAAAATAGATAGGTTCAAGGAACAGAACAATATTTACAAGTACTTAAGATATAGTACCATATTTGGGGATAGATTTTTTTTTGTGATTTGGATGTCGATCTGAACTAACATTGCTAGCAATGGTGCCACTAATCTACATTACTAACGATATCTTCCCTTTCGGCAGTATAAATTAACGTATAAAGTTTTTCTGTTGACCAGTTAGTATCTATAAGTTAGAGTAGTCTACTATATCACGACGCTCTAGGGCCAAAGACACAAAAAAACACTATTATAATATTTTATTACGTCGTCAATATAGTTATAAAGCATCTCGCTGAAAACATATTGAAAGTAACGTATCTAAGTATTTTCAGACTCCTTTTATTTGGCATCGTGATATAAACAAACAAATAAAAATTAGAGTGACTGTTATTGGTGCGTAAATATTGACTTGTGCAAGATGTTTTCTTTTCTGCTATTTCATATACATTGAGCGTATCACTAATAAGATGACCTATAAATATATCGGTAGAAGAAAGAATATTTTATATTGGGTTTCGATTATTGAAAACAATCGCACCTCGTGTGTCCAATGACCTTTCTACGTCCAAAAGTAAACTGTGACGGGAAGAAAATAAATCTCCACCACGGTGCGCAGGCGCACGAGCGAATCCTAAAATAAAATCCCGCGCACACCGTATCGAGTTCCTTTCAGTGTCTCCTAGCGCGTTACAGTAAGCGCACCCAGCCTGTGATAAAATACTAGTCGAAACTCCTCTAATAGTGCCACCATTGCTGCTTCAATATGACAAGTAAATTATTAGTGCCATAAAAAAACCCCGATAATTGCCACTCCTTAAAAAGTCACGCTACTCACGCCCCGCTTGTGTGAATTGGATTACCGAGTGTGTTTTTTGATGTGGCAATAATTCCGCTGTAAGTATCCGCTTTGTGTTCAAACTACACATTATTATGTGTTATTCATTCATTAATAAAAAAAATAATGATTTCTCTTGATATTTAATTTGATTTCTTATAAGTTTTCTTAAACACATTTGTTCCTTTTGAGTTTATAGTAAAAGTGTCACATATCACATTCCTGTCTCTTCCGTCCTGTCGGTTTCATTTTTAAACGCTAATATTTTAGTTTCATCATTATGTATATCTTATTTCGTATTCCCGTCATTTCCATACTAGTAATAGAGGTTCTTTGTCACTTTCTTCATCACTACTGCACATCATATAACGCAGGTTTGTATAAGCTTTAAAGGATAAGATTCACCCACTTTCTGTGTCATGCCTTGTGTTTTTGGACTTAACAATTTTATTATTTGTTACTATTATTACTATTTTATATATTTCTTGCGTTCCATTAATACGTTATTTCTATTCCAACTAGTAATTAAATAGGCCCTGTATAAGTCTGTATGAATCCCTTTGAATCAAGAGGGGGTGACGCATGTTATAGTGTTTTGATTTGTATTTGCGTTTATTATTTTGTATTGTCTACTGTCTATACGCAATGAACGTTGTTTATTTGGAAGGGAATCACAACCTTGAATCGTTTCCTTATTTTTAAGTCTGACAATACTTTTCCCAAATTTAGTTACTTCCCACATTTCGTAATGTTTTTGTTTAACAATCCCATTCTATCTAAATCCGTTTGATGCATGTTGTTAAGTACTGCTCTTAGAATTAATATAAGAACCAAAATATTATTTAAGTGTATATTCTGTTACAACGCCGTTGTCCTTTTGGTTTTAAAGACTTTTATCGTAATCTAAGAGTTACATGCCAATCGACTTTAAGTTTTATGTTGACTAGATTCGAGCTAAAAATAATTAACGTCTTTTTATTCGGTAAATCATTGCGGTGTATGTTTTGACAGTTTATAATAAGTCTTCTCGGTAGGGTATGGAGAGGTAGACAGAAATTGACATACAATTTTTTTCTAAACTAATTTGAGGTTTTATTTTATGAATTTCTGAATACGATTTGAGTAATTACAGAATCTGTAAGTTGTTCTATTACAAAAAATACACCGTTAATTGTCTTTCAAAGAAACAAAAGATATCTAGATTTTTTATTTCTTGCGGGGAATTAACTATTGTCTTCAGAGACAGAAGCTTTGATAAAACGCTCTTTATTAGTCTCTATAACACAGCTTGAAGAAAGTACGTCCAGCATTCCAGCTGTATAAAATAGTTGTAAATAATTTTAAACTTTATGTCATAGGTTTGAAATTCGTGTTCGAACTTCCTATAGTTTTATTTTGAGTTCATGATCTCACTGTTTTCTGTTTAATGTGTAAACACGTCAGCGGTATGTCGGTTTCATTACTTTTTTATTTGAATGAGTTGTTTCATTAATTAATTAAATATCTTATATTCTATATAACCTTAAATTAGCTTGTATAATATTATAAATTTATCATATAATTATTATTATTACATTACCAACTCGCAAAGTAAAAGAGTAATATTTTAATGTAACTGTAATTTAAGCTCAAGCTTTTGAACTTACCCTTCACACCATCCTATGTCTATATAATACATATAAGGACATGTCTATTTGTACACACCGTAAGAACAAATGTAACTTTTAATGAAATAAAATTTAATCTTTTAAGCATCGTACAACTTGCCCTTCTTACCTTAATGGCCTTCAGTAATGGTAACAAACGGTCGACACCATCAGCATCATAAATTAATTTTATGATGCTCCTGATGCTGTTCATATGTATATGCTATCACTTTCCACAGTTGGTCCGTCAGTTTGTTTGCCATTCAAAAAATTTTATGACGCTTCATGTGTAAAAAATATCAGCTATAAACAAACCCGTTATGTTTGTCAAAACATTAACTGGGTGCCGCTACCTGACATTGCCATTTTCCATTTTTATTCCGTTACATCAAATGGAGAGAATATTATATTGTTTTTAATTACTAAAGTATCTGATCCGGCGTGTTCTGTACACGTGGTATTCGGAATAATAATAATGGCAACCCAGGACTAATCACACAGCGCCATCTAGTAATATTTTTTAATTACTGAAGTAGGTGAGCTGGTGTATTTTGTCTACGTGGTATTTGGAATAATAATAATGGCAACCCAGGCTCACACAGCGCCATCTAGTAGCAAGATAGGCAGGGCTCGTGTTATTGCTAATAGATAACAAATTTAAATACATTATTTTAATACACATACATAATGTACAAAGAAAACACCCATATCGAAGGTAACAATCATACTCATAAATACAAATATTTACATCGTGTGAGGAATCGTAACCGAGACCATCGGAAGTAAAGCGTAACTAAACCGCTAGACCATCTTGGTCATTTGACCTAGGAATAGCAGTTTATATTTTTTTATGTTTATGTATCGTCTCAAAATATAACAAACACTAAATAATACGGAAATTTCTGACATGCTGTTTTTAATGAGTAAATAAATCAGTTAAGATATTTCTGAGATTCAACGACAAACAGATACCAATTCTAAAAATAAATTCTCCAAAGTACATCATCGTATATCGTGCAAGTAGGAATTGTTTTTTTTAAAGTATTAATGTACAGTTCATTTACAATTTTATTATATACAGCAGGTGTATCTAAAAAGGTGTCCGAGAGCAAATGGATCTGGTAAAAGGAATCCATTAGATACCTATTTTTAAAAATATTGGGTTTTTATCTCAATGGCTGCCCTATAACGTTTTCTCTTTATACCTAAAGGTTATCTGATATATAATGTCATACAGTAAGTAATGTTAAAAATAGCACAAAACAATATAATGAATAAATTTATTGTTATATTTTTTTAGGTTTATTAATTTCTCGACATAGCTCTTCGTATTTGCAAGTTGAAGTGACAGTGGGCTGGTCATATCTGTCGTAGAACCGATGCTCGCTGGAGTAGGCGTGTTCTAGAGTGGCGACCGCGAATTGGCAAACGTAGTGTAGGACGCCCCGCAGCTAGGTGGAGCGACGACATACGGTAGGGTTGCGGGTAAAAAATGGAAGAGAAGGGCTGAAGATCGTGCCCAGTGGCTTGCCTTGGGAGAGGCCTATGTCCAGCAGTGGACTGCAGTGGGCTCATGATGATGATGATGATGAATTTCTCGAAATTATTATCATTACTTTATTATGGTTGTAGGCTGTCCTTTTTTAATTTTATTTTTTAAACGAAAGGTTTTTACGAAAATTATGCGGATGTAGAAGTATGAAATTTAGGACAATGATAGTTTATATAAAAAATGAGTGCAAACTGAATTTTTTTTTAATTATGCCTAAAAATAAATTAAATCAATAAATAAAACATTACACATACTACCACTATACTACATTTTACCACGCACCTACCAGTAAAGGTATTTCCGTACTGATACGATATTGAAACGTTCAAGAAAAGAGCTTATTCCTTCTTAAAAAGTCGGTAACGCACTTGCTATTCCCCTGGTGTTACGGGTGATCATGAGCGGCGGTAATCACTTACCATCAGATGAGCCCTTATGCTATAAAAAATGTATTTATTTTATTTTCTAAGCATTTATGTATTATTTCGAAATATAATATTGTTATCTAATTATAGCTCTATTAACCATTTATATCAAACCGTATTCATGAAATAGAGAATTATTAGAAGCCTTTATTTGCTGTTAATTTAAGAACAAAGTACGAGCGTGAAATTAAATTAGTCAAAGAACAGATATTAAATTTAAGCGTACTCAATTATATAAATATAATTTATAAATAAATATTAAAATTTGTATATATTTGTAACGATATTACGTTGATAGAGTTTTCTGAAATCTACGAGTATATATAGATTATAAATATAGATTTATTATACAATTTTCACAGTTAAATCTTTTGCCCACATTACCGACACATTTGTAACTAGATAGAAATAATTAAACTAATATACTAAAACAGATTTACTTATATTAATATTGTATATATCATCATCATCTGCTTCTTGTTTATCCCATTTATTTGGTGTCAGCGTAATCTTATATATAAAATTCTCGTGTCACAATTTTCGTTCCCATACTCCTCCGAAACGGCTCGACCGATTCTCATGAAATTTTGTGAGCGTATTGAGTAGGTCTGAGAATCGGCCAACATCTATTTTTCATCCCCCTAAATGTTAGGGGTAGTCCACCCCTAAATTTTTATTTATTAGACAAAATTTGTAGTTTCTATTTTTTTATGATACAACATACAAAAATACGTACAATCCTAAATTTTCACCCTTCTATCATCAACCCCTATTTTTTATAGCGTTATTAATTTATATGGCAAAACAACTAGTATTGTATATATATATATATATGTACAAGTATATATCTTTATATACAGAATTTAAAGCAGAATAAAAAGGAAAATTACGGTAATTTTCTTACAGACAAAAATCGTTGTTATGATGAATTTCAAAATTTAGGAACAAATTTAAATTAATTAGTGATTACTACTTAATGGATTTATATTATTTTGTGATTATTTAATCGAATTAGGTGATTATTTAGTATTCTGTAATTTGGATTACCTTAAATGATATATTAGTTTTTTTTTACCTTCATATTAGAATTACTGAGGCAGTAAAGCGTGGATGGACCCGCTTATACTATAAAAAATGTAGTTAATCGTTGACTTGTTCATAAAAGACTATTGGAATTTTTATCTGCCTATCCTGTCTGTGCATTTGTACGAGCTTATCTCTGAAACGACTTAACCGATATGGATACTGTTATCTAGTCTAACATAATACATTAGTGTTGTGATAAGCTTCACTTAAATATTTATCTTTTTTTAATCCAATCAGTTATGAGAATACGTAGTAACGAATTCTACCATTACAATGTACTAACAGACCCTCGAGATTTAGTTTTGTTTGCATCACACTTATCATTATATATCGCCCAATTTACATAATAT